GATCCACAAATTGCCCAATGGTAGAACTGTTAGATTGCAGAAGTATAAAGCTAGCAGTCTAATAGAAAACTACGGGTGTATGTGCGCTTCATCCTTCTATAACTACTATAACCAGAATCGAGAGGAGGGCATGTATCTAGTCTTTGTCTCGAAGAAAGGGGAGGTCGTTCAATCACCCCCAGAGATAGAAAGAGTCGTCGCACAATATTCAGACCTTTTTTAGGAGCCCACAGGCGTGGTGGAAAGGGAGGTTGTACATGCGATTAAGGTTGTCCCAGGTAGCAAGGTGCCTAGAGGACGAATCTATAGGATGTCTCCCGCGAAGTCAGATGAGCTTCGCCGCCAGCTCAAGGAGCTCACAAAGAAGGGATGGATACGGCCTAGTACCTCCCCTTACGGCGCTCCAGTGCTATTCGCACCTAAGAAGGGAGGTACCCTGAGGATGTGCATTGACTATAGGGGTCTCAATGCCATAACTGAAGAACGCAGAGCCCCTACCCCGCATCGACGACCTATTGGATAGAGTGCAGGGATGCCGGTACTTTACTAAGATAGATTTAAAGTCCGGATACCATCAAATTGCCATTAGACCCGAGGACCAGCACAAAACCGCTTTTCAGACCAGGTACGGTCTGTACGAGTTTGTGGTGATGCCCTTTGGCCTATGCAATGCACCTGGGACGTTCCAGCACGCAATGAACCGGATCTTTCATGATTACTTAGACAAGTTTATCGTCGTGTACCTCGAAGATATCCTTATCTTTAGTAAGACTGCAGAGGAGCACGTTGAGCACTTGAATACAGCGCTAGGTCTCCTAAGACAGCACCAGTACAAGATTAACTTGGATAAATGCGAGTTCGGTCGCACCAAAATCTTGTATTTGGGTCATGAAATTTCAGCAAATGGGTTGAGGCCGGAAGATGCAAAGGTGGACAGCATACGTGACTGGCCTGGACCTCAGACCGTTACTGAGGTCAGACCGTTACTGAGGTCAGACCGTTATTGGGGATGACAAGCTATTATCGTCCTTTCGTCAAAAACTATAGTACGGTAGCCTCCCCATTAACAGA